CCTAGATCGGTAAAATAGGCGAATTTCCTTCTACAACTTCGGTTGTTGTTCGGTATACAGTTAAAGTTTTAACGAAGTTCAACCGAATACATAATTAGCAAAAAAAAAAAAGTTGAAATAAAGTGATTAAACAAACATTATTACGAATATCGTAAATAACAGTTCACAAATGCATATATAGAAATATTTTTTGAAGGGGGAAATGGTCTTCACAATTTAAAATAGATCGAACACGCTGTGCTCGAATGCTCGTGTAAACGCGCGCCATCTATCGTAGGATAAATGTACGTCGCGGGAGTGTATTTAAAAACTTTCCGAAGTTTTATGGCAATCGTACTATGCCACAAACCTTCGCTGGAGTATATGAAACAACTTCCCAAAGTTTCACGGCAATCGGATAAACGGTGTGGTAATGCATGAAGGACACACACACACACACACACACATACATTCATTTTTATATATATATAGATGTTGCAAATTTGAAAACTGATTTTGCTTATAAAAACGGTGCGTGTTAATATTTTCTGAGCTAATTTTTTATTTAATTATAATTTTACTACAAAGAAAGAACACGGGTTAAAATAAGTCAAAAAATCTTGAAGAGGTCAGCACTCAAAAATGTTTGGGAATTTCTGATGTTTGCACCATGAGTTACATGACTTGAAATCAAAAACTTTTCTCTTAAACGAGTTAGATAGATGACTGGCATGACTCTGTTGCTAAAGAGGAAATATGATGTACAGGAGTAAGACACTACTAATTTGAAATAAAAAAACATATATTTTACATTAAATATGTTAAAAATATGATTAAAAACTGCAGCCCGGTATTGTGACGATGTCAGAATAAACTTTTGAAGTCACATTTTATGTGAATTTTTTTTATTTTTGAATATTTTTCGAGTAATACGCGATCTAAATATATCTCGTGCTACTTTTCTTCTGTTAGAATTTAAATCATTTTGCGTCACTTACAGCAATTAATAATTTAAATTTATTAATTTTAAGTTTCTCTTATCAGTAATAACTTTCCTAGTGGCAATTGTAGATGACATTTACGTAAAAGGAAAATGGTCCTGCTTTTCTATATATATCTAAATAAAATAATTTATTATTAAGTGTTAGTCATATGTTTAAAAGTTTTATTTTATGTTATTCGAACATTTCTTCTTCGATAAAGCAGGTAAGAGGTTTTAACTAATGTTATTCGTTGTATTTTATGTATTACCTATGAATACCTTAGTGATATTCGGACGTATTTAACTGAATTACAAAAATTTAATGTTTCTATTACTGAAGAACTTAAAATTTGTTTTATTTTAAGGCAGAAAAGATGCGCCTGTATATAATACGCACACAATTTCAGATCAAAGTATCACTACAACAAGAGAAAGCTAGAATTATAAAACCGATAAACTCACCAACATTAGCGATAAATTTGAAAGAAGTTAAAATTTATAAAAGCAGATGTATGAACTGTAGAAGTGCCACAGTTTTATCACAGCATGGAAGTATATGGTCGAAAAAAAACTTATTACAGCCTTTTGACGGTCCTCTGTGTCAAATACTGTATATAGCACTTCGCCTCACAGCACATTGACAAGAGCATCAACTCCTTGCTGAAGTTTAAAGTTGAATTGGCAAACCACCGTCATAAAATATTTATGACGGATTGGAAGAATCTAAATTCTAGTGTATTAGATATTTTAAGATTATATACTATTCATAGATATCCTGTGCATTATAATAGTACATTTCCTTATAACTTATTTGCTTTTTTTCGCAAGTTTCTTCCACTTACTACAATTAGTTTAGGATTCTAATCTTTAAAAGACATGACCATAAATTATTATATTACTATTAATTTATTAATAAGACATTTCAAATTATTTCGTTATTATTTTCTATTTCAGACACGAAAAGTACACTTTTTTGGATATAGAGTATGGATTCTTTATACAAAATGTTTCCTGAGCAGAGAGAAGAATTTCCGTGGGATGAAAAAGCACTTGAACATTTTAAGAAACTTATCAGTAAGTATTGTAATAAACTACATAACAAATTAAATTTTTTATATGGTAGATTTGCATTAAAGTGTCATTTGATTTATTACAAAGACGTGGTCTTTTTATGAAATATGTTAATACGTTTTCAGCATTATTAACTCATAACGTTCTCAAGTAATGCTTTTATCATTTATAAAATGTATAAATGATTGCAATGAAAACAATGTACCAATTAAATATATGAATTTTTAATATTTTTATAATAATTATTTCAGATAAAAATAAATTAAAATGTAGAATGGACGACATATTTCTTCTTGGATTTCTTCGTGCTAGAAAGTTTAACCTAGAAAGATCGCTTAAACTTCTGAAGAATTATTATTCTACAAGAATAAAATATCCATCCTTTTTTAAAAATCTCTTCCCATCGAATTTTGAAAGTATTTTACCATTAAATATAATAAGAATATTGCCGAAGCCTGATCAACACGGGAGAATTGTTAGTATAATAGAAAACGGTAAGATTCATAATTATTTTATATTGATATATAACTTATAAGGAAAGAAAATTTATTTATACATTTATTATTCTATGACGTTTTTTCGAATTTTTAATTTTTCTTGAAATATTATCTTAGCTTGTTTGATGGAAAACGTTCAAGTTGGGGTCAATTAGATTGCTTAATTAATAAAACTACAATTGAAACATTATATATGTAATATAATACAAAAATAATATAACATATCATCAACATTTTATGTTTTATTCTGATAGAAAGGTTCAAGAGTTATTTCTTTTATTATAAAAGAAATATGTTATAATGTATTATTGATTTAACGATCAATTTGAGACGTGCCGCTATAGAAAAAAGTTGAAAAAAAATGATTTTAAATTGTTTCTTTAGCACAAATATTTTTCTCCGTTAAGTTAGAGTTTGATATATCAATATGTTACTGTACCTTATATTCTTGTATACATCTTTTAATTACAGAGCGGTGTGATTTTTCGAAAATGAACGTGTTAGATGTGTACCGTCTTTCATTCCTTTTATCAGATTTCATGTTAAATTTACATCGAATGCAAGCGAATGGAATAGTTATAATAATAAATACTCAAGGAATAAATATTCGATATTTGTTGCGATATACACCAAGATTGATCAGCAGTTTGATTGCTTTAATAATCGTAAGTAATAAATTATTTAATTAGTATTTTATTTATTCCGTTTTAAATCAAAATAAGAACTAATATTTCAAACAGATTAAGCAATATAAATTATTACAATGCCAATGAAAACTTTAATCATTCTATGTTAATGAAATTGAGTTTGAAAGAAAGATAGAAGAAATGTGATCGGTATTGATAACACTCAGCTACTGTAATCGTTATTGTTTGAATTATCAATACAAATTTCTTGAAAATATCTAAATTTCACCCTTACTGACTGATATAATGATTCAAATTTTATATAGTATTATCATCAAAAGTGAATTTTTACAATAATATACAATCGCAATTTTAAAGTTTTATTTACGTTTTGAATTTTAAAATAAAATATTAAATTTAAATATTTTTTTCTAACCATATTGAATTTTTAATGTATTTAAATTAGAGTGATTGTTTTCAACTACGATACAGAGAAATCCATTTTGTGAATGTAAATTCCGTAGTCAAAGGAATAACGAATATTTTCGTCCCATTTATCCCCGAAAAAATCGTAAAACGAGTAAGTAATTTTTTCATTAAAAGTAATGCACGATGTATTAAATATTCTTTATTAATCATACACCCAATGTTTTGAATTTCCAATCTCACAATATGCCAATATGCAATATAAATTTCTGTACTAAGAATTTAATACAATAAAAACGTACAAATCTTTTAACTTTAACGTTTTCTATATTGATTTTTGATTAAATAACTGATTAATACAACAATCTACCTGTTATAACATTAAAAAAAAATATTTTGTACTATTGTATCGCTTGTAAATAAATTTTTCATTTGTTTACAGATGATAATGCATAGTGAAGTAACGACTCTGCATAAATTTATTCATCCAAAATATCTTCCTGTTGCATATGGAGGAGAATTACCCGATTCCGATTCACGAGAGTTCATTGAAATATTGAAACAAAACGAAGGTTTCTTTCGACAAAACGAAAAATACGTGAAAATGTATGACGAAGAGGTCAAACGAAGATTCTCTGAAGGAACATTCAAGTATATTGATCGGAATAATGTGAATTACGAAGACAAAGTTATAAATGAAGTAGAAGAGAAATTCAACCGCATTAAAGAGGATCCAGAATATTACGCGAAACACTTTGAAAAAAATGCTCTGTTCGAAGTCACGCATTTGTAAATCAAGATATTTGCATATCTTAGTGTATTAATTCTGGTATAATACTATACTATTGTTGTTAAGAACATTATATAAATGATATTTTATTTTTAAAAACATTCGAATTCTCAGGATACTGAACTTATATACTGTATACGGGATGATTTTACTTAAAAGTTAAAATTTATCAATTGATATATGTATGGATTATTTTTGTGATTGTAATTAAAATAAATGGGTGTAGGCAAATTATAATAAACAAATTACCTGTGAACCGCCGGGGAGGACGTAGGCCGTCTCACCTCCCTTTTCGGCAACAGGTCGTTAAACCTACTCACTTTTCAACATTACGATGTCTGGTCCCGAGGGTTGAGACTCTCATATGTCGGTCGAGTGGAGGGAGACGATAAAATGAAGGCAATATACGAGTAAAGGAGTATACCATTTAACAAATAAAACAAGAATTTATTAAAATAGACAAGATTGACAAAACTACAACACTAATTTCGACACTAAACCGCCATGTAAACCACCCAAGAGCGAGTTTACATGGGTTTCATATCTCTTTGTATGTTTCCACGACGATTTAAGTCCATTGAGTCACATAGATATCCAATAAGTAACGTTTTTAGGGTAATTCCAATTGGCACAAATATAAAAGTTCGCGACTAACGGTGGAGATCGATGTTGGAGGTTCGGAATGTACGGCGGGTTCGGAGATTCTACTTGACGGTATCCGATGGCGTCGGTCCGGCTTTCGGTAAGAGACTCCCCCGAGAGGGGGAAGAAAGCATTTTTTATAGCTTTTTGCTGGGAAAATCGGTCACGAGATCCTTTGTAATCTGAGATGAAGGTTATAGGTGTTCCCGGAACCCAAAACAAGTGACGAAATTTGGATGGTAACTATAATCTTTTGTGCAAGTCGAGCTGCAGACTGTGTGAGAACAATAGAATGTTGGTAGTTATTAAAGCAGGGTTTCAAACGTTCCCAGCTAAGATCGTTTTTTTTTCTTTCAATACGTTATATAAACAGAAGTAAAATAAAATTTTTAGATTAATAAAATTCCGGATCTCACATACCAAATAAACCGTTAGTTACTTAATGTATTTGAGTTTATTCTATGAATGTTCTATATAGAAAACGAGATTCTTCTGCATCGAACACAAAACGATCGATAAGGCATGTTTGGGGGTCGATAGAATTATTATTATTAAATCATTAAAAATAATTAGTCAAATGTTGTGTGTATTTTGTATTCAGTATGTTGTAAATTTCAAAACTGATTTTGCTTATAAAAACGGTGCGTGTTAATATTTTCTAAGCTAATTTTTTATTTAATTATAATTTTACTACAAAGAAAGAACAGGGGTTAAAATAAGTCGAAAAATCTTGAAGAGATCAGCACTCAAAAATGTTTGGGAATTTCTGATGTTTGCACCATGAGTTACATGACTTGAAATCAAAAACTTTTCTCTTAAAGGAGTTAGATAGATGACTGGCATGACTGTTGCTAAAGAGGGAATATAATGTACAGGAGTAAGACACTACTAATTTGAAATAAAAAGCATATATTTTACATTAAATATGTTAAAAATATGATTAAAAACTGCAGCCCGGTATTGTGACGATGTCAGAATAAACTTTTGAAGTCACGTTTTATGAGGATTTTTTTTTATTTTTGAATATTTTTCGAGAATACGCAATCTAAATATATTTCGTGTTACTTTTCTTCTGTTAGAATTTAAATCATTTTGCGTCACTTACAGCAATTAATAATTTAAATTTATTAATTTTAAGTTTCTTTTATCAATAATAACTTTTATAGTGGAAATTGTAGATGACATTTACGTAAAAGGAAAATGGCCCTGCTTTTCTATATATATCTATAATTTATTATTAAGTGTTAGTCATATGTTTAAAAGTTTTATTTTATGTTATTCGAACATTTCTTCTTTGATAAGGCAGGTAAGAGGTTTTAACTAACGTTATTCATTGAGTTTTATGTATTACCTATAAATACCTTAGTGATATTCGGACGTATTTAAATGAATTTAAAAAAAATAATGTTTTTATTACTGAAGAACTTAAAATTTGTTATATTTTAAGAAAGAAAAGATGCGCCTGTATATAATACGCACACAATTTCAGATCAAAGTATTGAAGGAAAGAGTATTCAGTGTACAGTAATTAAACAATTCTGCTTATAAGATAGCTGTGGTAAGATAAGATGTACCTAATAAGTATCCAGCTAGAATGTTTTTTTTCCTTCACAACAACACCTTATCTTACTAAGTACTATTTATTAATTGCAAGGAACGTTTCCAACCTCTTCTACAGGTTATCTTTAGGTTTTTTAAAATTTTAGAGCATGACTGTTGTTATGAGTGAAATATCGAAGTACAAAGACTTTCAGTTACTTTTCAAGAAACTGAAGCATCAACAACTGTTTATGGCCTTTCGAAGTATGATAAGGATAAAGTTTAAAAGTGGTGCATCAGAAGTATACAGAATTTTGTATAATAACGAACAATTGAAATTGGAGAAGGAATACATACGATTTGCAACATAAACCTTAACAAATGTCTTAAAGAACACATATATAGCATATAGAAAGAGCAGAATTGTACGGTTTTGTCTAGAATGGCGCAAAGCGAGGCATCGGTAGTATAATCAGAAGAAGCTAGAATTATGTGACATAAACCGGGGGTACTTCTACTAAATACCGCTTAATCGGCACAAAATCGTAAGATTCGATCTGTACGTTTAAAAGGAGGGTCGATTTTTGAGTGGTAAGAGGATCTACATTTTGAATCCGGATCCACGTTAATTCCACTGGTTGACACCAGTTAAATCCACTTAAATCCACGTTAAATCCACTGGTTGACACCAGTTAATCTTATTTTAACGCGAATTAACACGCCTAACCACGGACTTTCGAGTATGAGGAAGGCAAGTATTTAACGTAGGCATAAGTGTGGATATCTATCATTAAACAGGCGATATTTAAAATAACAAAACGAAAATATTTAATAAAATAAAATATCAAAAATATACAAATGGAATGAATTACAAATTATACTTGACCTAAATCGCGATTAACTAACTTAAATCCTATCTTAAATCTAACGCGTGAGAGAGAGTTCACATCGATCTGAATAGGTTTATACTACCTTCACTAGAGTAAGGATTCTTTATACAAAATGTTTCCTGAGCAGAGAGAAGAATTTCCATGGGATGAAAAAGAACTTAGGTTGTACGAGTCACTTAGATTTTACAAATACATGTGCCGGGCTGTCAACGGCTCACACATTTGTAAAATCTAAGTGACTCGTACAACACGGAATTCATATAAAACGGAATAATCAACAGTGTTATATGGAGGTCGACTGTAATTAGTTTTAAATAATTAAAATTAGTCATAATAGTAATAAATGTTGGCTAGGTAAGTGTTATCTGTAGTCTACTGAAACCCATTTGAGCAAGTCATTAAACCGTAGGAGAAGACAACTTCACGTGTTAGATGCAAGGCGAGTTGTTGAGGCTGTTTTTCGGATAAAAGTTATGCCTCATAAGCTATAACAACGGTGGGCAACCCCCGGCCCGCGGGCCAGCTACGGCCCGCGAAGAGTTTCTATCCGGCCCGCGAGATGTTTAGAAAATATTATAAATAAATATTTTTCGATGTAATTCGTCTAGTTTAAATTAAATATTATTTTCTGAAGTGTTGCGGCAGCAATGACAGGAAAAAATAAGGGAGTCATTTCCTTATTAAAACAAAAAAATGGGAGAACAGAATTTTTCTAAATTATTTATATCTCATCGCATCATTAATCAAGAAAATCTATGTGCAAAAGCTATGCAATTAGAAAATGTAATATCTGTCGTATCCAACTACATAGTGCTGTTTTTATTGTGTTTAAAGTCACTTAGATTTTACAAATAGGTGAGCCGTTCACAGCCCGGCACACGAATTTGTAAAACTAAGTGACTCATACAACGTGGAATTCATATAAAACAGAATAATCAACAGTGTTATAGGGGGATCGACTGTAGTAATTAATTTCTTTTTATTTATTTATTTATTTATTTTATATTTGCAGACTAAAAATTTACAGGTCACAAGGTGTCAATTAACTACTATGGCCCGCGGAAAAAACGTAATTTATTCTGGCCCATGTTATAAAAAAGGTTGCCCACCCTTGAGCTATAAAACACTTTCCTACTGAAATAATTTAGACAGAAAAGTTGTGTAAGTATTGCCTTTAAATAATTCGATGGTTATGTCGAATGTCGTTGATTTATGATAAAATATTTTTCAATTTTCTAAAAATGAACGTCGACTATTTTGATTTTTAATGAATGACTTTTGTATTAATAAAAATGTTATTTGTTATTGGCATTTACAATTCACATAGAATCGTTTTTGATATACTTGCCTGTATATCAAAAAGAAGACATTTGTCTTTACGTGTTAACTAAAAATATAAGCATTATTAATAAAATTTCGTAACAGATGGCGCCACATAGAAACCCTGCCTTCTATATAATTGAAATGATCAGAATTACTTGTTTTTCTCACACAACACATATTCTAGTAACAGGAAAGTCGTAAAAGAAACCTTGCCAGCTTTTATAGTCTCTGCAAACGTTTGAACATCGGTTAAAGGATGTGGGAGTTTGTAGGGGGGGATGGAATCAGCAGGAAGAAGCGAGGGGTCCTTGACACGGTTGTATCAATATTTTGTTACAATTGATACTTTTTTTTAGCCATTTTATTGTCGCCAAGGCTCACTCGTATATGTCCACAGTTGAAAAGTGACAGAAATAACTCAATTTATGTAGAGAAATATCTGATAACATAAGAATATTATTATAAGAAACAAAACAACAAAACAATATAAACGAAGCATACACACAACTAACTACGTAAACTGTACGAATTAAATTTGAAATCGAAAATATAAGATACAATATTACGTTAGTATACACACAGATATAGACTAATCGTATTAGCAAAGTAAAGAGAAGATTCGATAAAAGGTCTTTGAAGAGATTACACATTTTTTGATGTTTTTCTCGGTTATGACGTTGGATATAATAACCTGCACGTCCTCCATAATAACCTGCGTGNAACTTATATACTGTATACGGGATGATTTTACTTAAAAGTTAAAATTTATCAATTGATATATGTATGGATTATTTTTGTGATTGTAATTGAAATAAATGGGTATAGGCAAATTATAATAATCAAATTACCTGTGAATTGCCAAGGAAGTCGTAGGCCGTCTCATCTGCCTTTCCGGCAACAAGTCGTTAAACCTGCTCACTTGTCAAAATGGCTAAATTACGATGTCTGGTCCCGAGATTTGAGACTCTCATATGTCGGTCGAGTGGACGGAGACGATAAGGTGAAGGCAGTATACGAGTAAAGGAGTATACCATTTAACAAATAAAACAATAATTTATTAAAATAGACAAGATTGACAAAACTACAACACTAATTTCGACACTAAACCGCCCAAGAGCTCGAGAGAGAGTTTACATGGGTTTCATACCTCTTTGTAAGTTACCACGACGATTTAAGTCCATTGAGTCACATAGATATCCAATAAGTAACGTNTTATTTTACTTTTCTTTCGTTAAAATTATATTCAAAGTTTGCGTGACTTACGGCAATTAATTCAAGTTTCCTGCTTTGAAATTTCTCTTAGTAATTCTTTTTTTTTTTTTAAATCAGTTGTAGGTGAAATTTACGTAAAAGGAAAATGGTCCTGCTTTTCTATATATATCTAAATAAAATAATTTATTATTAAGTGTTAGTCACATGTTTAAAAGCTTAATTTTATGTTATTCGAACATTTCTTCTTTGATAAAGCAGGTAAAAGATTTTAACTAATTATTTCAGCCTCTAGGTAATAGGCATGTTAAGCTTTACTTAAATTTTGTGTAATTAAGGAAATTGATAAAAAGACATTCTCTTTCCCTTCCTGCTTCATATTAATTTAGCGCTGGTTGAAATTTTATTATTAAGTGTTAGTCACATGTTTAAAAGCTTAATTTTATGTTATTCGAACATTTCTTCTTTGATAAAGCAGGTAAGAGATTTTAACTAATCATTTTAGCCTAGCCTACTCAATATACAACTATTAAATTTTGGAATACAGAACTTAAAATGAGTATTATCTCGAGTGGGATCTGATTTAATGAAAATTTTTTTCGTTATTACCATTTGCAATTTATTTTCGGGTGTATAGATAGAAGAGTTTTATCTATTTATGATGATTAAAAATATACGTATTATTTTCATAAGAAAACCTCGTCGCAAAAAGTGCCAGTTACAAGCTCTTATTATTATTTAAATTTAGAAAGACAAGTAAATCCAGCGATTCGATTCGTAAGCTATATTCTACCATTTAAAACTTGTTTTTTATTGCAAATTTCATCTACTTCTAGCAAATTGTATGAGATTCGCATCGAGTTTTTTTTTTTGTTTTACGTCATTAATTTTAATTATTTTTTGTTGTTATATTCAGTGTAACAATGTTTTTTTTGTCTGATTGTTTCGTGCTTTAGATACAGAATCTACACCCTACAGAATGGATTCTTTATACAAAATGTTTTTTGAGGAAAAAGAAAAATTCCCCTGGGATAAAAGAGCATTTGAAGATTTTATAAAACTTATAAGTATTATCATAAGCAATATTATGTTTAAATTTCATGACAATTTTAGCCAAAATTATCTGAAATAGTCATCAAAGATTTTGATAATTCATTAAATAAAATTAAAAACATTAAATTATGTACTATGCCAATGACTATTTAATAGTTTATGTCTATAAAAAATTAATGATTAGATTGACGCTATTAAATTTTAGTGGTTAAAGGTTAAGAGTGAGGAAGTAGAGAAGGTCGTGTGTACGGATTGCAATTGCTGGATCCCTAATCTAGCAATCCATATGGATCCAGCCCATTCTTCGGTCTACCGATCCGCAAATACTCAATTAACTTTCTAAATAATGGTGCAAAAGTCTACGTTGTCGGCGTTGCCGCTTTGCTACGTGTGCTATCGCTCGGCGGCGAGAGCGACGTTGCCGTTCAGTGTAGCACGTGTTACATTCCTTCTCAACACCGCACCGTTAGCCCTTTTACCTCTGCTGATCTATTTGTCAGTTGACTTTCCGCTCTCTCTACATAAAGTGTCTTTGCGCTAAATAAACTAACTAACGCCTCTCCTAGTCCTAGTGCATAATTCTAATTTACGGTCGGTTGTGACGTTAATGAATCACATGACGGAATGATCGCAGTTTAAGTCTATGGGGAGCTGTAGCCTTGCGGCTCGCTTCGCTGCAAGACTACGCGCTGCTTTCGCGGCTTGTCCACGAAACCTGACCTATTCCTCCGGGAGATTGACCGTCACTAGCTAATAGAAAACATTTTATTTTTTTTATTTAAGCTGAATCGATATTTTACCGGAGACGAAAAATAAGAAAGTTTTTATACTTTTTTCAGCGATCGTGCGATGATCGGGAGTCGCGTCGCTCTCTCCGCTAAGCCTCTCCCGTGTTTAACAGGCAGTACGGCAGATATTGATGCCGACACGCTCGCGGTCGGCTAGTCCTACGCCTTTAAGGAATGGGGAAGCCCATCAAAATATAAACACCATTGTTGCCACTGACGGATCGAAAACCACCAGCACCGTGACTGTGGCTTTCGTTGACTCAAAAAACATCATGGCCCACTTCTCTCTCCACCCTGAGGCCTACACTTGACAACAGAATACGACTTTTAAAAATATCACCAACCAAAGATGATATGTTTTTGCAAAAATATGTAAAAGAAGCAAAGAATTGAGTTTGATTCTTGACTGCTGCACTAGGTGGAACAGTTTCCTCAGCATTCTGGAACGTTTGCATCTATAAAGTCTTAATAGACACTGGCTCAGACACTAAATTCAACGCTGACGAGTGGTCACTAGACAATGAGTTGATCACCAGTCTTCAACCGATTAACTACTAGACTACTAATAATTACTTACTTACTACTAACACTAATAATTAAATTACTTATAAATAACTACAGACTGATATGTAGAGCCTATATAAGAAAACTGGTAAGACTGATAGCCACTTAGCCATTGATTATCCGTTCTTACATTATTATAATATAATGTATTAATATAAATTAATTAGTAGAATTACCTTTCCTATTATTTAAATTAAAGATTACATTATAATTATAATCTCTTTTCAGATGAAAATGGATTAAAATGCAGAATGGACGACAAATTTCTTCTCGGATTTCTTCGTGCTAGAAAGTTTAATCTAGAAAGATCGCTTCAACTTCTGAAGAATTATTATTCTATAAGGGTGAAATATTCATCCATTTTTAAAAATCTCTTTCCATCGAAGCTGGAAAGTATTTTACCTTTAAATATTACAAGAATATTGCCCAAACCTGATCAACACGGGAGAATTGTTATTCTAACAGAAATTGGTAAGATTCTTAAATCTTTCAAGTTGATATATAACTTATAAAGGCTATAATTCAAAAATTATATGAGTAAATGTAATTCAAAATTATTGTTTTAACATTTCAGCATACTGTATTTGAACACAAGAAAGACTTTAAATTTTTTCTATAGGAAAACTTTTGTTCACCAAATAAAGGACTGTTAAATCAATGGTTTATTGTACTTCATATCTATGTATAGAAATTATAGTATTTTATTTCGTTTTTTTTTTTAATTACAGAACGATGGAATCCTTCAGAAGTGGACATTTTAGATGTAAACCGTGTTCTCATTCTTTTAACAGATTTAATGTTAAATTTACATCGAACACAAGTGAATGGAGTGGTTATGATTATAAATACTCAAGGAGCAAATATTCGACATTTGTTGCAATATACACCAAGATTTATCAGCAAAGCAATTGCTTTACTAATTGTAAGTATCTCCTTTAAAATAAAAAGTATAATCGAATGTGTTAAATTGCTTCAAGAATTTAAACAATAAACGTGTTTTAATTATAATTACAGTATTCGTATAAGTTCGAGGTAAAACTATTTAAATGGAAGAACCATATAAACAATTATTATTACACATTACTCATCCTGTTCTTTGTATTTATCGGTATTTTAACACATTATAACTTCAAAAAATGGAAAAAAATCCTAACAAAAGTTTATATGTATGTGTTTGTGAACCAAAAGTTTTGAAATTTGCCAGAGTTATCTGTTTATATGGGTATAAATACTGTTCCATTTTGGTGATTAAAGATAATGGGAGTCGAGAGATAGAAGGTAGTAGATGATGAATGACATCTGAAGTGGGGTCAGCCTGAGTGAATATGTCATATAAAGTAATTTTGGAGAGTTATATCTCGCGAAGGGTTGCTGATAGAGATATGGTTCTTTTAACTTTTTTGTTCGTACTCTACATCTGTGTCAAGGTCCCAAACGTATCATTCAAGCTTGAATTCAGCCAAATGTTTTCCTGTTCCTAAATCTTTGCCATCTTTGTTTTTATTTTTTAATTTCAAATCGAAGCATCTTGAAATATAAATGTTTTGCTTCGTATTAACAAAATAATTAGTATTTAATTTTAATATCATTGGGACATTTCCGAATACATACAATTTACACAAATTATTTTATCTATGTCTTGAATTTTAAATTTAAATGTTATATTCTAACCAGATTGAATTTTTTTATGTATTTAAATTAGAGTGATTGTTTTCAACTACGACTGAAAAAAAATCCATTACGTGAATGTAAATTCCATAGTCAAAGGAATATTGAATATTTTCATCCCATTTATGCCCGAAAAAATCGTAAAACGAGTAAGTAATTTCCGTATTAAATGTGAAAAATGCACAAAGCAATAAAAGTAATAAAAAATAAACAAAAACTTGTCATTAAACATTAAATATTATCATTAAAGACAGTCATTAAACAAAAAAAATATTACTTTTTGTTTAATTAATGACTTGTCATATATTATGTTCGTACATTTCTTGAAATTTTTACTCCTCCTTTTCCTTTTTGAACCAGTTTAATTAATCCCTTTCCTCTTTTGTCATCCAACAAAACTCAGCCTCTTCATTATAAGAGTTTATTTTATACTGTTATAACGTTTGTAAATAATTTTTTCTTTTGTTTACAGTTGAATATTCATAGTGAAATAACGACTCTGCATAAATTTGTTCATCCAGAATATCTTCCAATTGCCTATGAAGGAGAATTACTCGATTTCGATTCACTTGAAATCATTGAAATATTGAAACAAAACGATTTCTTTCGACAAAACGAAGAATATGTGAAAATGTATGACGAAGAGGTCAAACGAAGATTTACTGAAGGAACATTTAAGTATATTGATCAGGTTAATGTGAATTACGAAGACAAAGTAATAAAAGAAGTACAGGAGGAATTGAATCGCATTAAAGAGGATCCAGAAAATTATGTAATACAATATGAAAAAAATGCTCTGCTGGAAGTCACACATTTATAAATAATGATATTTGCATATTTTTATGTATTACATACGATGAAATTATATTTAGTACATTAATTAATATATTATTATTCAAGATATTATATGAATGATAATATTTTAAAATACAAGGTACTGTATTTGAATTTGTAATAATGTATCCCAAACTAATTTACTGTAAATGATACGAAAGATCTTTTTTTTTTAGAAAGTTAAAAGGAAATTGATATATGTATGGATTATTTCGTTATTATGTGATTGTAATAAATATATAATTAACATGCACAAATTATAATAAATATAAAATAGTTAATAAACTGTTTATTATATTACTTTCATGCCTCTACTGTATGTAACAAGGGTAAAGATGTCAAGATTGCAAGGAGCTTTACATATTAGGGTGATTGGTATTATGCAATTTTGGTTGTTAAAATTCGTGATGAGAGAGACATGAAGGGGAGTAGTGTATTACATTTCGAACAGTATTACTTTCTCTATGTAACAAGGGTAAAGATGTCAAGATTGCAAGGAGCTTTACATATTAGGATGATTGATATTATGCAATTTTGGTTGTTAAAATTCGTGATGAGAGAGACATGAAGGGGAGTAGTGTATTACATTTTGAACAGGATCGGCTTTACTCCTTAACATTTACAATTTTTTCTTTTATAAAACTTATCCTTACCTTTAAAATGAAGCTTTTTGACATTTTATAATAATTAAAAGTAATTTTTAATAATAAAAATAATTGCTCCAATGTTGTACGTGTGTTTAGGAACGTCCCGATACCACAAAAGTATCGATATACAGTAGAAGTATTATGAGTAGTTTAAAGTATCGATATAGGCATTATCCGAACATTTCTGTGTGTGTTAAAATCAAGTGTTGTAAATTTGCTCACTGTAAGATCTTTATAAAAACGGCGCGTGAATTAATACCCCTCATAAGATTTATTTATTTATTATTAATTTTATTAGAAAAGCTAAAAGAATGGAAAAAAGAGAGAATCGATAGAAGATCGAAGAAAACTTGAAGTGTCAGTAGTCTCCGATATAAAACCCCTATATAAAGTATATATGTTCATTCAATTGTCAAAAAGTTTTTGTCTATAAATTCTTAATACAGTAATACTATTTATAATTCATTGAAATAATTTTTAAAGTGTCATAACTTTAATTTATTAAATATTAATTTCTTAAGTTTTTACAGTTTTGTTAGTGTTTTGCTTTACTTATTTACATCTCAGATTTGATTTTTAAGAAAACATTACTCTATGTAAATCTATTATACATTAATTATACGCGTGGCCGGAAAATAACGCTTTAATATCACGTAACTGGTTATATACGGGGAGAAGAAAAGGGGAACTTATTTTTACCAGTTACTGGTGTTGTTAGGTCTTTGGCTTTATATGGGGATGTTTTAAACGTTTTTATCGGTTATGAAGTTGGACATTCACGTCCTCTCTTAATACCTGCGGGTTTTAAACTGCTCTACATAGAACGTTAGAAGCATATTACCACATTTGTGTTTATGTGTCAAGTAGAAACAGTAACACGTGTCGTAGAGGTCAGTTTCCTTGTTGACATTCGCTTGGTTACAAGTTTAAATTCTTGGCAAAAAGATTAAGAANACCTGCGGGTTTTAAACTGCTCTACATAGAACGTTAGAAGCATATTACCACATTTGTGTTTATGTGTCAAGTAGAAACAGTAACACGTGTCGTAGAGGTCAGTTTCCTTGTTGACATTCGCTTGGTTACAAGTTTAAATTCTTGGCAAAAAGCTTAAGAATGTAGAAATGGGTTTTATAAAAAATTGTAAATGCTAATAATTAGTAAAATCGTCATTAAATTCGACCCTACTGGAGATAAACACGACCGTTATTATTTCTTCGTCCCCTCGACCTTTTATCACTAAATTTTAACAGCATCAATACCCCTAACAAACAAACCTCCCCGAGAAATTTCATAAATTTTCGACAAAAAGCACAAAAGTTATTAAGCTTCAAACATAGTAAAAAGAAAAATCGTATTTTTACACAAAAACACACACTAACACCCATATTTAAAAGACGTTTGTCTCAACTCCTAATGTTTTTTAGTAGTTTAATACTAATTTACATAGGTTTCTGTTTAATAAAATCTGTAAAACTAAACCGTGAGTAAATTATTTATGCATAGTAAAAGCACTTTAGCTCGCATTTAATTGCATTATTATAGGAACATAAAATATATTTGTTTACTCGTCAATTAATTAAATTTCGTACGAAGAAAATTTACAATAATATGAATGTTTTCTGGCCTTTTTTCGCGTAATTTGTTGCCATTTTCCCGTAGAATGTTTTCCTAGAATGCACAATGCCTTGGAGAAATTGTCCACGTGTTAACTTTATCATGTTTTTGAATAAAACGATTTAGGATATGATTTTGTTTTGCAATTATATTATGCAAAAATATAATTTATAATTAATTTAAAGATTTGAATTTTCCAATACATACAGTACTATACAATATAATTCATTTATTTTAATTAAATAGCATTCATAGGAGTGATATTGAAGGTCAAACATAATACATTATAATGAATATCTGACCTTAAGCTGTAACTTCTGCATGTAAGATGATAAAGATAAGTCTTGAAAACATGTAATACAACATGATTTATGTTCCTGCATAAAATATCTATCGTATTTTCCTTCATATAAATGATTGTTTTTATTACGAGACGGGGAGAGTATTGGTTACGCTTGAAGGAAATCAGACACTGATAAAACTACACTCGTACTGGCTCGCTACAATCTGAGGTTAGATAGATTTTTGTATGTTTTAAAGGTAAGTATATAGTACAAATAATTATAATATTATATTGTATATTTTATAAATATTGGGTGGAGTACTAATTTAATTTATCCGTCATCTAATCTGTGTGATTTTAAGCTTATGTTACGTTATAATTTCGAATTAATTAAACGTTGTTGTCATGGATGCGAAGTAAACAAGCCACTTTCATTAGCTGCTTGTTAAGTAGACTTGATTCATATTTGCCGGATTTGGCCGGAGGCGTAACAGTCTACTAAGCTGAATACGACCTAATTTTGCCTCAACTACGTAAACGGTTGTTACGTAACAGTGTTTACGTCTATATTAATAACAAGAAACAACAGTCAGATTTACTAGTTATGCAATAAGCGTTGACGTAAGCTACTAAATGGTAAGTAAAGCGAACGGTTACTAGTTAATTTCATGCCATATCCCTTAACGTTTGATTTTAATAACTAGAGAAATACACGTAATTATTAATAACGAAGATAATAATAGTATTAATTAACATTGTCATAACTTTTGCTTATATGCCTACTAGTAAGTAAATAAGAGGTAAAACGTCATACGACAAAGTACAACGTCACAGAGAGGTCAAGGTGACTCGCAACCACATTGCGAGAAATATCTAATGTAAAAGTAGGCTCATATTAGATTATTTCATTTAATATTATAATCGTATCTTATACCCTATTTACAATTAATTTCTTCATTAATTAATATTTAATGTTTCTAATCTCTGGACTCTAGTTTAGCTTAGATAGTTATTTTTTGTATATATTACATTCATTATTTATATTATTAATTAATTTATTTATCAACTCTTGATTAATACAGAGGGAACGTATTCTTTGAATAGATAGAATGGATGCATTGTACAAATTGTTTCCTGAGGACAGTAAAGAATTTCCATGGGATGAAACAATACTTGAAGAGTTTAAAAAAATTATAAGTAAGTATTATTTATATGAAAATATATTGCATATGTTATGTTTGTTTGATTACTTACAACAATTATTAACAGGATATATACGGTAACTTAACTAGTACAAATACTAATTAGGGGTTAATAATGAACATTTCAGGTTGATGTGCAATTGAACTGATGGCCTTACTTGTATACAACAACTAATATTAGGAAGGGACGAATTAGAACTACGTACAGTACAAACTTATATTCTCCCCTGTATAATCGTCTATAAAAAGTGGGCCTACTCTTAGATATTATATGCACATGTATATAAGTACTGTACGTTTGTCATATTCGAATCTGTTTCTTGTATTTATTTGAATTTTTTAATTAATTTATTTACATAAGCAAGTGGGCCTGAGTCTCAGTTACGCTACTCAGTAGGTTATATAACGTGCTGGCAATCAAATTAAATTAGAGATCTTCCAGATAATGTTAATTAATCTAATAAATAAACTGGTTAGAAGTAGTAATCGGAGTGTAAAGAAAAAAACTTTAATTATCATTAATGGAATAAGGACCACCAGAAAAACATGTGCATGCTAGTCCTTGTGTTGTGTTGCTAGAAAACTGGCCCTTATTTACGCGTTAGATAAGTAAATAAACCCACAGTTTGGAGTTTTTTAGTGGTTTAATCCATTCGCCTACCAGTGTGGCAAGAAAATTGAATATAATTTATAATACAGTAGAGCCTCGGAAACTCGGCACTCGATAACCCGCCATTCAGGATAACTCGGCCACACCTTGGCAGGGCAAAAAAATCCTTAGTTAATTAATTTTCATTACAGACAGCTTTATAAAAGTATAAAAGCTCTCGTAAAGTATTTTTCTGAGGTCTGTCTTATCAGGTAAATTACTGTACACAGTGTGTTCATTAATTTTCATTTTCATGTAGTAAAGGCTCTATGCCTTCATAAAGGACGTACTTTTCCTTTGTTTAAGGGTATTTGGGCAGTTTATTCTCTGTTGTATTCTCAAGCAAACAATACATACAAGTACAGTACAATATTTTCTGAGGAAACACGCATACTTATCCTTTTTTAACCCCATTCCCGATAACCCGGCATTTTCACAAACTCGGCCACCCTTCGGTCCACATTAGGCCGAGTTTTCGAGGCTCTACTGTATCATAAAATATTTTTATCATTTATACCTAAAAAATGCTGTTTATAATTACTGTAAATATAAAATTTTCAGATGAAAATGAACTTAAATGCAGAATGGACGACACGTTTCTTCTTGGAATTCTTCGTGCCAGAAAGTTTAATTTAGAAAGATCGCTTCAATTGCTTAAGAATTATTACACTAGAAGAAACGACCACCCTTCATTCTTTAAAAATCTCCTTCCATCGAAACTAGAAAGAGTTTTGTCTTTAAATTATATAAAAGTCATACCGAAACCTGATCAAAATGGAAGAATTATTGTTATATTAGAAGCTGGTAACATTTTGTATTTTTATTATAATTTCTTGATATTTTATCTTACTATAAATATTAAAATATAATTTAAAATAGAAGCTTAATGATTTAAATAATATTCCTTTTGGTTGGAGAAGTATTTCAAAGCATCAAATCTCTTAATAATTAATACAAAGACTATTATATTTATACTGAAATACATTGTACTTTACGTCTTTAACATTTTTTTGTTTTAATCTCTATATAATTTAATTTCCTTTGATTTACAGAAACATGGGATGTTTCAGAAACAACTGTATTAGATTTGTACCGTGTTGTATTCCTTTACATAGATTTACTGTTGAATTTGCATCGCCTTCAAGAGAATGGATTAGTTGCAATTATTAACTCTCGAGGAACAACCTTTGGACAATTCTTGCAATTTACACCCAAATTTATAAACAATATAGTAACCTTAGTAGTCGTAAGTATGAAATTCTCTAAATGAAATTATTATTTGTTTACATTTAACGTCACCCATCAATTATCCAGTTGATAAAATCACTAAACACTGGTGGGTTCGCGCATAACTACTAAAGCCACGTGAAGTTTTCCGTGTATTCTTCACCTACCTAACACAACTAAGGTCAATTTATCGTAGAAATTTGGCCGATCGTATGAATCTACTTTAGTCCCGGATAATTTAGGCCCCGTGCCTCAACACACGGTCGTCTCATAGTGGACCTGGATGAAGAAAAGTTCTTTTATTGTCCATAGGGCATAAAGAGAAAAAAATGGAGAGAAAAAGAAAAACAATGTTGAGTCTATGGGCAAAGACGTCGTAATACATTGTCATACAAACGGCTTCAGACGTTGATACGTGTGTTTCACCACTCACCTGTAATAGACATTAAAACTGGTTGGTGCCTTTTGGGCTATCTTCTATATGGAATTGAAGTAAATTTGGCTAATATTAAAGCATAATTTTACGAAATATACAAATTTTATAATTAAATCTTATAATAAATCAAAACGTTTTATTTAACCGTATTACATTTTCTATGAATTTGTTTATATTTAGAGAGATGCGTATCAACTACGACTCAAAGAACTTCATTTTGTCAACATCAACCCCATCGTCAAAGTCATAGTGAGCATTCTTATTCCATTTCTTCCTGTGAAAATACGAAAACGAGTAAGTGGCTTTCAAAAACTTAGAATATATAATGTCTGAAAATTATGGAACCAATTGAATTTACACTAAATTGGCTTTATTCTCTATTCTCGTTTATAATATAAGTCCAAATGTTTACCCACGAAACTCCAAATGTTCCCTGGGACTAATATTCTTCCAGTATGTTGGGATTGACAGCAGCATACATATTTTTACCATTGGTTCCAGACTTTTCGGATACCCTGTAGATAATAATTATTAAAGCTAATCTATGCAATACATATTTTTTTTATTAATCTTTTATCATATTTAATTGCTTGAAGTACTTATTGCTTGATATATTAATTTGTCTGCCTTAAAAGTAAATATAAACATTTAAAAATACTGAATTTTAAATATAATAACGGCAATAGTTTATTTGAGTGTTTACTTCTAAGATACTGCACGTCAGCAATTAAGTATAATATATGCTAAAAGTCTTATTTATCTCTAAACTATTCTCAGAGCCTTCGAGAGATTTAGGAGGCGTGGGGCAGAGTGGTCCCTTTTGTAGACTAGGAACCACTATGGGCCTCTACGTTTTCTCCGGGTCCAAAAAACTTCCAATTCTCCATCTCGATAGCACTGAATATACTGTCGGCTGCCTGACTTCTGTATACTTCCTATTTTTTCCCACGCTCACCAGTGCTTGAATGGATAAAACCACTGAACACTAGTAGTTAGTTGCGGGTTCGCACTTCAATAGGAGGCTACTCGCGTGGAATTTTCCGGATTTTCTTCAGATGTAGTACATGAGAAATTGGTTCCTACTTATGTAATATATTCATAGGAGCCAGTTTCTCATAGAAGATCTTCCGGAAGGCACTGACCTTTGATAGAGTGCCCATGTGTTGCGTTGTGTTAATCCATCAATTTTCCTTGAGTTTTATTAGTAAATTTGATTTTGTGATAACGTAATATTACGTAGAAGTTACATGAATATTAATTAATATTATTATAATATTTTAAATATTTTTACTTGTTTGCAGTTATTTGTACACACCGGAGTAACAACTTTAAGTGATTTTGTTAATCCAGAATATCTTCCTGAAGCGTATGGAGGAACATTACCCGATTTCGATCCAAATGAATTTATGAACGTTGTAAAACAAAACGAAGATTTCTTTCGAGAAAACGAGGAATCTCTCAAGACATATAACGAAGCAGTTCAACAAAGATTTTCTGAAGGAAATTTCAAATATATCAATCCCGATAGTGTTAACTATGAAGAAAAACTTATAGAAGAATCCGAAGAAAAATTCAAAATGTTTAAAGAAGATCCAGAAAATTTTACAAAATACGCTGAAGAAAGCGCTCATGATGAAGTCGTACGTCTGTAAATGATCCTCTTTGAAACGGGTATTCATTGTTTATATCAGTATTCCAAGTTATACAAATAAAAACAACAGATGGTGCCACACGCCGGGAAAGTTACGCAACTTGTTGCTTAATTTTTTTATCATTTGATATCTAAAATAATTTTAAATGAAATGATAAAATAAAGGTTTATAAACACTATATTAACGAGAATAAGTTGATTTTATATTATGCAACATCTCCCGCTAACTGCAAAGTTTTACAATTACCAAATGTGCTTTGTTCAGTGATACTTGAACATTAGAATGTTTTTTTTTAATAATTAAAATTAAAATAATTAATTCAATGTTGTTTTTAATAAAATAGAGTAAAAAATGTTTTAATACAGAAAAACTTGTCTAAACCGGAACCTGATTAAACGGACACCTGCACGAAAGGAAAAACTTTTTTAAAACGTAGCAATTTTTTTAAAGGTGATAAATATTAATTAATTATGTTTTAATAATTGTATTTTATATTTCTTTTGTTTTCAGTTCCTTAACAAAAAAAAAAAAAAAAAAAAAAAATGCAAAAATGAAATCTGTGTACCCACATGAACGATTTCTCTCTCCAATCCAGCATATAATCACGTGACTTCATTGCCATGTGCCCTTCATTCGTACGCTATCTGGCGGGAAAAAAAGGAGAACAAGTTAAAGATGGCTGACGACGACGACGTAATTATTTTGTGACATGCAGTGGCGGTTGTATAGGGAAGATTAGAGGGGCTTAAGCCTTCCTATCTGATTACTCTCTGATTATTAATTGTAGATATATATATATACATATATATTGTGCTTCAACACAATCTCTCGTTTGATGGCAACTTCCATGATTGGTATTCGTTTAGAAAGTAAAATCTTTGAAGTACTTTATTCATACTTCAAAGACTTTTACTTTATTCGTAAGTACTTTAACACATATATTTGTTATAGATTATAACTTTAGTAGATGTATTTTCGAATAAATGAGCTTATAAATTTAAACAAAAATGTAAATAAAGTATGAGAAACTGGCAGGGAATGCGCGACGTTACGTATTGAAAAGTCACATGACTACCTTCATCCCATTAAGATTCAAAATATTACAATGCTTCTTCAGTAACACAGTAAAGCTTGCGTAAACCAAAATCGCAAGGTACCGAATATTTTCCCCATTTGACAGGTTTCGAGTATCGTTTTGGACAGGTTTTACCGTAATTAACAAGTATGAAAAAACACAGAAGAAAAGCGAGCAAATATCATTTTTCGTATCTTTTCCGCATCATTTCGCTTTATAATTATTCTAATACAGTATAAATAATTGAATATTTCGTAAATTACGCAATAAAGTACAAATATAGGAGTATTTTTCTAATGTATTATACATAGAACAAGTATATTTACAAACGTTTAGAATTCAATTGGCCCTGACAATAGGAAAAGGCGATGTTGACTCTCAGCTTGCTCGCAAAACAGCTTTTAATACAGTATAATGGTTTAATTGTATTTAATTATTTGTTACTGAATAAAACGTTATAAACTGCATCATCTTATATTAAATAGACGAGGACTTTCAAGTATAATGTGACAAATGTAAGTTACTGTACAATGACATACATAATGAATCTCAGTGTCGACTCGAACTGTAAGGCGCACTAGGAAGTCGCCTAGGGCATAAAAATTTAGGGGTGTCGAATATTTATCAATTATGTTAATTAGTCATATTACGTATACATTCAAAGCTATCACATGTAGGGGTGGAGGTTATCCAATGCACAAGGCGTTCACTGTAGTAGTAAAAAGGAGAGGGCGTAAATACATAACACAACAACGTCCACATACATGACAGATAATTGTGTTCGTGTTTTCATGTATATCTCCACTCATACATAACACACATAGCAATACTATAATTGTAAAATAAATAAATAACAATGAAAACACTACTATATTAATAAAGGAATTTATCAAATTATTCTTACTATAAAAGTAAATATATAATATCATAGAAATCTACGTAAAATCTTTACTAATGATTTATAAATTAATTTTACTTTTTTTCTGTACAAAATATACTATTGATCAACGTACGCATTAACAAAACTTCTTGTCCAATCCGCATCGCAAATATTCAATTTCCCACTACATAAATTGACCAATCAACGTTTAGCTAAATGTACTATTGGATATTACCATGGAAACACATCCGAAAGACACGCCTCCTGAAAGATGAGTTTTATCTCATTAAAACCGACGAATCTTTCGTATAATATAATTAAATTTGTTAAATATAATCAAGAGTTTTTTAATTTCGAAAAAAATGCTTTCATTTAAGGAAACTTTAAGTTAATTAATTTTAAAATAATATTTTTAAATATATAAAGGAATATTTAACCCTGAAAGTATTATTATTAAAAATCTAATTGCATATTTATTATTGTATATTCTACTTTTAAAAAAAGAGTTATCAGTAGAAAACCTTGACGAGGAAACCTAAAATTACAGGTGTGTAAATTAAAACAAGAACGGGACGTGCATAAATTAATCGTTAATATATGGAAAATAAACAAAATTTATAGAATTTAGATAAAAACTAAATATATTAAAAATTAATTTATAAAGTTTCTTAAGTGTTATATTCCCTTTTACTATCAATTTATTTATGTTTAGAATGGCATAATGATAAACTAGTTATCACTGGAAAAGCCTTGAGGGGGATAAAATAAGCAAATTAGCCTGGGTTCCTAACAATGTACTTCTATAACTTCATGAGGCCTTTTGGAGGCCTCAGGCTTTGACTTCTTCGAGGAAAAGTTTTCCTCGAAGAAGTCAAAGCTTGGGGCCCTACAGATAGGGGATGTGTTGTATAAAAAAATGAAGTTCGCATTGAACCTAAATTAACTTAACATGGTTTGGGTTGTGCATCTAAATATCTAATTCAGAGACTCCAGATTNAAAAAAAAAAAAAAAAAAAAAAAAAAAAAAAAAAAAAAAAAAAAAAAAAAAAAAAAAAAAAAAAAAAAAAAAAAAAAAAAAAAAAAAAAAAAAAAAAAAAAAAAAAAAAAAAAAAAAAAAAAAAAAAAAAAAAAAAAAAAAAAAAAAAAAAAAAAAAAAAAAAAAAAAAAAAAAAAAAAAAAAAAAAAAAAAAAAAAAAAAAAAAAAAAAAAAAAAAAAAAAAAAAAAAAAAAAAAAAAAAAAAAAAAAAAAAAAAAAAAAAAAAAAAAAAAAAAAAAAAAAAAAAAAAAAAAAAAAAAAAAAAAAAAAAAAAAAAAAAAAAAAAAAAAAAAAAAAAAAAAAAAAAAAAAAAAAAAAAAAAAAAAAAAAAAAAAAAAAAAAAAAAAAAAAAAAAAAAAAAAAAAAAAAAAAAAAAAAAAAAAAAAAAAAAAAAAAAAAAAAAAAAAAAAAAAAAAAAAAAAAAAAAAAAAAAAAAAAAAAAAAAAAAAAAAAAAAAAAAAAAAAAAAAAAAAAAAAAAAAAAAAAAAAAAAAAAAAAAAAAAAAAAAAAAAAAAAAAAAAAAAAAAAAAAAAAAAAAAAAAAAAAAAAAAAAAAAAAAAAAAAAAAAAAAAAAAAAAAAAAAAAAAAAAAAAAAAAAAAAAAAAAAAAAAAAAAAAAAAAAAAAAAAAAAAAAAAAAAAAAAAAAAAAAAAAAAAAAAAAAAAAAAAAAAAAAAAAAAAAAAAAAAAAAAAAAAAAAAAAAAAAAAAAAAAAAAAAAAAAAAAAAAAAAAAAAAAAAAAAAAAAAAAAAAAAAAAAAAAAAAAAAAAAAAAAAAAAAAAAAAAAAAAAAAAAAAAAAAAAAAAAAAAAAAAAAAAAAAAAAAAAAAAAAAAAAAAAAAAAAAAAAAAAAAAAAAAAAAAAAAAAAAAAAAAAAAAAAAAAAAAAAAAAAAAAAAAAAAAAAAAAAAAAAAAAAAAAAAAAAAAAAAAAAAAAAAAAAAAAAAAAAAAAAAAAAAAAAAAAAAAAAAAAAAAAAAAAAAAAAAAAAAAAAAAAAAAAAAAAAAAAAAAAAAAAAAAAAAAAAAAAAAAAAAAAAAAAAAAAAAAAAAAAAAAAAAAAAAAAAAAAAAAAAAAAAAAAAAAAAAAAAAAAAAAAAAAAAAAAAAAAAAAAAAAAAAAAAAAAAAAAAAAAAAAAAAAAAAAAAAAAAAAAAAAAAAAAAAAAAAAAAAAAAAAAAAAAAAAAAAAAAAAAAAAAAAAAAAAAAAAAAAAAAAAAAAAAAAAAAAAAAAAAAAAAAAAAAAAAAAAAAAAAAAAAAAAAAAAAAAAAAAAAAAAAAAAAAAAAAAAAAAAAAAAAAAAAAAAAAAAAAAAAAAAAAAAAAAAAAAAAAAAAAAAAAAAAAAAAAAAAAAAAAAAAAAAAAAAAAAAAAAAAAAAAAAAAAAAAAAAAAAAAAAAAAAAAAAAAAAAAAAAAAAAAAAAAAAAAAAAAAAAAAAAAAAAAAAAAAAAAAAAAAAAAAAAAAAAAAAAAAAAAAAAAAAAAAAAAAAAAAAAAAAAAAAAAAAAAAAAAAAAAAAAAAAAAAAAAAAAAAAAAAAAAAAAAAAAAAAAAAAAAAAAAAAAAAAAAAAAAAAAAAAAAAAAAAAAAAAAAAAAAAAAAAAAAAAAAAAAAAAAAAAAAAAAAAAAAAAAAAAAAAAAAAAAAAAAAAAAAAAAAAAAAAAAAAAAAAAAAAAAAAAAAAAAAAAAAAAAAAAAAAAAAAAAAAAAAAAAAAAAAAAAAAAAAAAAAAAAAAAAAAAAAAAAAAAAAAAAAAAAAAAAAAAAAAAAAAAAAAAAAAAAAAAAAAAAAAAAAAAAAAAAAAAAAAAAAAAAAAAAAAAAAAAAAAAAAAAAAAAAAAAAAAAAAAAAAAAAAAAAAAAAAAAAAAAAAAAAAAAAAAAAAAAAAAAAAAAAAAAAAAAAAAAAAAAAAAAAAAAAAAAAAAAAAAAAAAAAAAAAAAAAAAAAAAAAAAAAAAAAAAAAAAAAAAAAAAAAAAAAAAAAAAAAAAAAAAAAAAAAAAAAAAAAAAAAAAAAAAAAAAAAAAAAAAAAAAAAAAAAAAAAAAAAAAAAAAAAAAAAAAAAAAAAAAAAAAAAAAAAAAAAAAAAAAAAAAAAAAAAAAAAAAAAAAAAAAAAAAAAAAAAAAAAAAAAAAAAAAAAAAAAAAAAAAAAAAAAAAAAAAAAAAAAAAAAAAAAAAAAAAAAAAAAAAAAAAAAAAAAAAAAAAAAAAAAAAAAAAAAAA